AAAATATATATATAGAAAAAATTAGCCGGGCATGGTGGTGCATGCCTGTAGTCCCAGCTACTCGGGAGGCTGAGGCAGAAGGATTACTTGAGCCCAGGAGTTTGAGGTTGCTGTGAGCTAGGCTGACGCCATGGCACTCACTCTAGCCCGGGAAACAAAGCCAGACTCTGTCTCAAAAAAAAAAAAAAAACAAATTTTTCATGCTTAAGTTCTTTTTTATATAAAATGGCTTAGTATTTGCATATAACCTATGAACAACCTCCTGTATACTTTAAATCATCTGTAGATTATTTACGATAACCTAATACAATGTAAATGCTATAAAAACAGTTACTGTACTGTATTTTTATTTATATTATTTTGTATTATTGCATTATTTTTTATTTTTTGAATTTTTTTGATCTGTGGTTGGTTGAGTCTTCAGATACAGAACTCATGGACACCATGGACAGCTGACTGTATTACAAAATTAGGTGCATTAAATGAAAGAAGACTACTTGGCCATATTGGGACTCTATCTATTTGGTCATTTGACACTATACTGAAGGTTTTTCTCTTCAGAGGTAATATTGCATATGGAAGAAGTTAATAGAATTACATTCAGCATTTATAAATCTGTTAAAATATCATGAATTAAACATCTACTTTTAGGTAATGTCTTGTATTTGGAATATAAGAAAGGTATATCTCCTATACTTTAGGACTTTCTAAGGCGGGTACACACCATCACATCTTGCAGCTGCCGCAGAGGGCTTCTGTTCGTAAGTCCTTATTAAATGTTTCTTAAAACAATAACCATTTATTATATCACAATTCTCTAAAGCTGAAGTCTGGGTGAAATTGGCTACTTTCTTTTCTTAGGGTTTCCAGAGGCCAAAATCAAAATACTGGCCTAAATGGGCTCTTATTTGGAAGCACTGGAATTAATTCATTTCCAACTTCATGCAGGATGTTGGCAGAATTTTTTTTTTTTTTTTTTTTGCAGTTGTAACACCGGGGTCTTTGTTTCTTGCTGGCTATCAACCAGGGACCTTTCTCAGCTTCTAGATGACATTCCAATATGTGTAAACATTCAGTGCCGTGTGGCTTCCTCCATTTTTAAATCTAGAAGCTATAGATGGACTCTTTCTCTTGCTTCAAATTCTTCCTGCTTCCTCTTGCCTACACTAACTGGAGAAAACTCACAGCTTTTAAAGGAGTTCATGTGATTAGATCAGTATCACTAGGATAATATTCTTTTCTTAACATCAACTATGCCATAAAATATGTTAACAAGGGGTACTATAGTCACAGGTATCTGGGATTAGCATGTGGAACTGGGATTAGGGTGTAGAACGTTGAGGACTTCTTTTTTTTTTTTAATAATTCTGCCAATCACAGAGCCTGCTAGAAGAATCTTCAAATGATATATTAGCTGAGGAAAGAAGGAAAATGGATCTTTAATAGGTCAATGTTGTGGGGAAAGGCATTTCAGGCTGAGAAAAAATAGTTCACAGAAATGCCTAGATCAGAGAATATATAAGGTATGTTTGGAAATTGCTAATATTACAACATGACATGAAACATATGTTTTCTGGCAAGAAACAGAATTATAGGATGAAATGTTGCAAGTGGTCAGGCTTGTTAATGCTTCTGTGAGCTTCCAAAAATCATTCGGTATTTGGTGTAAATGAATAAATATGTCAATATTTGTACATAGTCATTTTTACCTAGAGTAATTAAATGAAAGAATACATTTCCTAGAGTAGACTGCATTAATATTTACCTTTTTTCTTTGAATTAAACCCTATATAAGTTTAGATGTTAGCAAATAAAGGCAAAATGCCACACACTTATTAAAACATGGAAGGAAAACAGACTTAGATGTTTTGCTTGTAACTTTTAGATTCATAGATCGCAATAACTTTAATCTATATCACTCACTTATAAAGAAAAAAGAGATGCTACTCCAAAAATTTATGTCTCAAAAACGATTCCATCAAACATAACATTGTTGTATTTATTTCGAATTCCTTGAATAGCTAATTTTATTTATAGCCTAGTTGTATTTGGTTTAGCTGCATATGTGTAAATTTAAGACATTTACTAATGAACAGCATTGTCATGTATTCTTTTCAAAAAGCCAGTAAAAAAACCCTCCTAAGCAGAGAAAAGACAGATACCTGTATGCATTGCATGCATTAATACCACAGTTCTCTATATTTCATCAGCCAAGTTTTTGTTGATTAGTTATTTAACAAAGTCATTTCTTTGCATTGACACGACATACAAGTTCTGTTTTGGAACTGATAGTGAGGCTATGCCCTAAGAAATTGATAAAAATGTCCAGGTAATAGGAAAAAACATAAGAACACAGAGCCCAAGTAGTCTTTTACAAATGAGCAAGTAGCTCATATATAGTCTGTATAAATGAATAATTAACTCTATACTATTTCTTTCATTCATCCTTCCAGATATTCAAAAGAAGTAAAACTGATCTGTTAGGTAGATAGTTAGGATCTCCGGCTCCTCTTGGGACAAGGGTTCCCTGTTTTGGTGCTGTTTTGAGTAATTGTTCCACCGGGGAAGAAAGATAACCGCGGGCACTCTATTTTTGGCGTTGCCCCACCTTTAATCCTATCTGGAGCAACTGCTACACCCGGGGAAGGAGGGCATGCTTTACCAATCTAGGAACTCTCCAGCCTGGGCATAATAAGACTTCGAAAGTGATCTAAGGGTAATTTAGAGTAACCTAAGGGTAATTAATATGCCATTAGTTTGAATCTGCATTGCAGTTCACCGCCCCTACCCCACCCGCCGTTGGGCTTTCTTAGAGGGAGCTCGTAAGTGCAGATGGAATTTCGAGGACACCTGTTGATCATTTGATAACATCCTACATCTCCCAAGAGTCCTCCTCCAGACTGGGCTACTATAAGGAAACAATTCTAGAAGTCAAACGTAGTTGAGTGGGTCAGCCATTGAGTAGGTCAGTCAATGAGTGAGTTGGTCTGTCTCTCTCCCCTGGTGGAGACAGACTCATTTTATTCTACAGTAAAGAGCTGCTCTTGTGAAACTGCTCCCTGCTTGACCATTACTTGACAGTGTGGCACTAAAATGAATAAGACCATCATCATTTGAAACAGAATAAATTCATTCACATGATGCATTTTATTCAATTCTGGTAATTAGAGGGATATAAACAAAAATAATTTCAGATCTTTAGTTAAGGACTAATTGTCCAGAAAACAACTATTAAGAAAAAGAGGAGACTTTTCTCATGTTTTTCTAGCCACTATTCTACCCATTTCTGCTTTGATCTTTATTATGTTCTTACCTCTGCTAACTTGGGGCTCAGTTTGTTTTT